AATTTATACTCCCACCAGCAATTATATGCGAGTTCAGGTAGCTCTGTATCCATGTCAGTGTTTACTATTTTCAACTTTTTAATTTTAGCCGTTCTATTGGGTATATACTGATATTTAGTAGTTTTAATTTGGTTTCCCCTGATGAGTAATAATGTTTGTTGATCTCCTTTGTGTACTTACTAGTCATTTGTATATACTCTTTTGTGACGTGCCTATTCAAGCCTTTTGCCCATTTTTTCCAAAATAGATGGTCTTTTTTCCTACTGACTTGTAAAAGTTCTTTATGTATTCTGAATATGATTTTTTTTGTTAGGTTCATGTATAGGAAATATAGCCTCCCAATATGCAGCTTGCCTTCTCTCTTAATGGTGTCTTTCAATGAAAAGAGATCTTAATTTTAATAAAATTCAATTTATCAATCTTTATATTGTTAGTGGTTTTTATGTCTTTTGTTTTTTTTTTCAGGGAGGTGGCCGACATAGGGAGCAGCAGGCTTGAGGGGCTGTGTGAAATACTGTCAAATTCACATTCACTCATGTGCCAAATGTAATTTTTAATTTCAAGGGTATGTTTTGAGAATCTATTGCATGTGCAAAGGGGGACATAAAGATAGTCTTATACCTCCTACTGTAAGCCTTATTATTTCACCTTCCATATTTAGGTCTCTGATCCACTCTGAATTGATTTTGGTATATGATATGATATAATGTCAATGTTCATTTTTCTCTCAGGCAGATATATTACTGCCTCAGCATCATTTTTTATTAAAAAGACCATTTCTCCATTCCCCCCCCCCCAAATTATAGTAGCATCTTTTTCAGAAATCAAGTGACTGAATTTGTTTGGATGTTTTTCTGGATTCTATTCTGTTGAATTGGACTTTTTATTCCTGGGCCAATATAGCACCATCTTAATAACTGAAATGTTACATTAAATCCTGCAATTTGGTAATGTTAAGTCTTCCAGTTTTGCTGTTTTTCTTCACGATTTTCTTGGCTATCATAAGTGTTTTGCCTAGGTTATAAATTTCCATAATAATGTTAGAAATAACTTAATTTCTACAAAAGAAAAACTGCTGGAAATTTGATTGGAATTGCACTGATCAATTTGGGAAGGGCTGCTATCTTAACTATTTTGAATCTTTCAATGCATGATGATGGTGTATCTGTTTATTCTGTTTATTTAAATTAAGTCTTCTTTAATTTCCCTCAATGTTTTGAAGTCTTCAGCATAGAAGCCTTGCTAATATTTCATTTGATGCATTCTTTGATTTCGTGTTTTTGATGCTATTATAAATTTTATTTTAATTTCCCCCAATTGTTGCTAGCATAAAGAAATACAAAGGATATTTATTGACCTTGTTCCCTTTGACTTTGCTAAGTTTATTTATAAATTCTAGTTGATTGTAGATTACTTTAGATTATCTATATATAGAACCTTGGCATCTATAAGTAAGTTTACATTTCTAATTTCTATTTCTTTTTTTAAAGATTTTTATTGGGGAATTAGGGAGGGGACCAGTGTTGGGGAATTGAGGAAGGGGGAGAATTGTGTTTTTCCAGGACCCATCAGCTCCAAGTCAAGTTGTTGTCCTTCAATCTTAGTTGTGGAGGGTGCAAGTTCAGCTCTTAGTCACTGCTTTCAATCTAGTTGTGGGGTGCAGGGGACGGTGGGGAGAGATGCATAGTCCACCATCCCATGCGGGAGTCAAACCGGCAACCTTGTTGCACGTTGAGTCATCTAGCAACCCGTTGGCAGCTCATGGCTGCTGAGCTCAACATGCTGTGTTCAATCTTAGTTGAGCGGGGGGGGGTGTGGGGGAGGGCACAGCCCACCATCCCATATACGGGTGACGAACTGGCAACCTTACTGCTAAGAGCCCGCGCTCTCACCAGCTCAGTGGCAGCTCAGCTCAGGTGCAGCTCACTGGCCCATGTGGGAATCTAACCAGTGACCCTGTTGCTCAGAGCTTGCACTCTTAACCAACTGAGCCACTCGGCCGGCCCTTTAATTTCTACTGTTTTCTTTTTCTTGTCTTTATTGAACTGACTAGAACTTCTAGTTCTGTTCAATATTGTTGAATAGAAATGTGATGGTGAACATCACCTTGTTCTTGACCTCAATGGAAAAATGTTTAACATTTCACTATTAAGTGCAATGTTAGCTATAGGTTTTTAAAAGATATTCCTTATTTGCTAAGAGCTTTATCATACATACTACTGCGTAGTCGAAAAAGTCATGATGCATTTTTGCAATGAAAAATATAGAAAAAATATGTCATGACTTTTCTGACAACCCAATATTATGAATTTTTATCACACTTTTGAGTTTTATCAAATGCTGCATCTATGGACATGACGATATGAGTTGCCTCCTATGTTGTGTTCATTATACACTTGATTTTTTTATTTTGACATAATCATAGAGTCATATGAAGTTGTATAACAAAATAGATCACATGTACTCTTTCCCAGTTTCCCCTTAATACTAGCATATTTGAAAATGATGGCAGAATATCACAACCAGGATATTTACATTGATATATAATCCACTGATCTTGTTCATATTTCCACTTTGATTTTTGAACATTAAACCAAACTTACATTCTTTATTCAGGATTATACACACACATACACGCACACACACACACTCACATACAGTCACACACACTCACACTGAATTTAATAAGCTAATATTTTGTGGAGGATTTTGCATATATATTTTTTTTTCCTTTTTTTTTTTTTTTTCTTTCGCTGAGCCCTCCTGCCACCTGTTGGCAGATCAGCAGCAGCTCAGCTCGGGCCGTGAATTGAACCGGTGACCCTGTTGCTCAGAGCTCGCACTCTTGAGCGAGCTCTTAACCAACTGAGCCACTTGGCTGGCTGCATCTATATTGATGAGAGATACTGGCCTGTAATTTTCTTTTTTTGGAATGACCTGCCAGGTTTTAGTATAAGAATTTTATTGACCTCATTGAATGATTTGTAAGTGTTTTGTTGTTGGTTTTTTTTCCTTTTTTTTCTGTGTTCTCTGAAAGACTTTGTATATGTTTGGTATTATATCTTTTTGAAATACTTGGAAAAATTCACCACTGAGGCAAGCCATCTGGGTTTGAAATTTTCCTTGTGGGAAAAATTTAAAATACAGATTTGATTTTTTAAACAGATCTAGGACCATTCAGAATTTTTATTTCCTTTTGTTTTTCAGAAATGTTTTTCAAGAAATGTTTCCATTTCATCTAAGTTGCTAAGTTGAGAAAATTTTTTTTCTGGTTTCCTCTTATCTTTTTAATGTCTGTAAAAGCTGTAGTGATGTTTCCTTTTCCATTTGTTTTCTCTCTTTTTTGGTTAGTCTTACCTGAGGGTTATCAATTTTAATTAACCTTTCAGGGAACCACCTTTGGCTTTGTTGATTCTCTCTTTAATAGGTCAGCTTTTTATTTAATTGATTTTTGTCCATTATTTCCTTTCTTCTACTTTCTTTAGGTTTATTTTTGCTGTTTTTTCTAGATTTTTGAGATAAAAGCTTAGATTGAATTTTCAACCTTTCTTCTTTTTTAATGCATGAACTTAGTTATAAATTTTTCTTTAAACACCACGTTAGCTGGATCCACAAATTTTGACATGTCATATTTTATTATTATTCAATTCAAAATATTATTTCCTTGTGATTTCTTGTTTCACCCATGGGTTTTTTAGAGGTGTCTTGCTTACTTTCAAATTATTCAGATATTTTTCCTACTCTGGTCAGAGAACTATGTTCCATGCATTTCAATTGTTTGAATATTTGTTGTGATTTGCTTTATGGCCCAGCATACAGTGTATTTTTGTAAATGTTTCATGTGCACTTGAAAAGAATGTGTATCCTCTAGTTCAATTTTTTATATTCTTAATAGTTTTTAAAATCTGAGTAGTCTATAAATTATTGAGAGAGGTGTGGTAAGATCTTCAAGTTTGTGAATTTGTCTATGTCTTTTTTCCTTATTGTGGTAAAATATACATAACATAATGTTTGGCATCATGTTTTATAGTTAGGTAAATTTTGCTTTATATATTTGAGATCATTCTTAGTAGGTACATATACATTTAAGATTGTTATATCATCCTGATGGATTGACCTGTTTATTATTTGGAAATATTTCTCTTCATTTTCTCTTTATTTTTCTTAACAATTCTTACCTTAAAGTCTACTTTGTCTAATAGTTTAGTCACACCACCTTCCTGCTGGCTAATGTTAGCATGGTGTATTTACTTTCAATCTATCTGTGCCCTTATATTTAAAAGGTGTTTCTTGTAGAAAGCTTTATAAGTAGATTATGCTTTTAAATGGAATGCTGATGTCAAATTCAGGCACACTCACAGTTTCCCTGGTTTGTGGTACCCATGAATGGGAAGCGACAGCGGTCTTGGATAGGGACTCAGCCGTTTAGGCTTGATATTGCTGATGGGAGAGGGTTATCCCTATTGGTGGAATATCTTGATACAACAAATTACTACCCTCAAATGTATTTGTTTTTAAAATGTTTTATGTTCATTATAAATTGTGTAAGGTGAAAGAAGCGTGTGCTTGAACTGCGGAATGGCTAGCTACCATTCAGCACCCTCAGAGGGAAAGATGTATGTATAGTCAGTGCTGTGCAAACCTCTACATTTTTCTCAGAAAAATTTCTAATTGAACTATTTCATATTGGAATTATAGATTAATTCAGTGAGTTTTTAAGTGGTAAGGAACCTCAGAGACCATCTTGGGCTCACTGTCATGCTTCTGATTACTTCAATATGGACATGTAAAGTGCTGTTTCATTTTTGTCACTCATGCCATACAGGTAAATGGATAGCTGAGTATTTGAACTTTGATTTTAAATGTAATTATGATCTTTAGAAATAACAACTGGTTAAAAAATGGACCAAAGTGTAAGTAGAATGGGCAACCGATATATTTCAGTTCCCAAAGAAAATTTATAAGGAAGTGTTGTTGTTTTTGCTTCACAGCTTTTAGTCCTAGAGAAAAGACTTCATCATTTTATATGTGATGTGGCTTTCTGGGTTCCTGGCATCATCGTAGAATTTTACTGGAGTTTCCATCTCTTGAAAATGAATGGGCATTTTCTTGCTCTCCACACGCATGAGTTTCACCTCCAGGGGGCCCAGCTTTACATAATCCTGTGGTGAACAGACACAGAAGAGAATAGGAAAGGTTATTCAGCGAGTTACCACCTTTAGTAGATCAGCTTTTCTTTATGATAGTTGGCCTTGATATGACAGACGTCATTGCCCTCCTAATGGCCTAAATGCTGTATAACATGTGAAATATGAGAGCTACCAAAGGTAAAAAGCCACTCAGTAAGCTTATATACCCAGTGGGGCATGATAGACAAGATCTCCCCAAGAGCAGGCAGCAAGGCTGGCAGGCTTGTCTTTAGCGGGGTTCAACAGGGGGCACCAGCTAGAATCGGGGATATATGCTCTACAAGCTCTCTAATTGGTAAAAGAAAGTGTTGGCTACATACATAAACGATCTTCTGTTAGCCAGGACATAACCTCAACAGAGTTGTTTATATTATTCAAGAATAAAGGGAAAGATCTACAAACATCACTTTGATTATAAATATTCTAATATTAAAACAGATTCTTTAGAATTGTGCACTTTTCACAGGACCTTTGGCTACTGTATAGATTACACTTACCACATTCTGCCAAACTATGTTTAAGGTATCAACAACCAGGATTAGGAGTCTAACTTGTGTGAAATCCCACAGTCAACCTCAAACTGGGTTGAAATAGCTCAGGTCCAACTTAACGTGCCTTCCCTTTTGGAAGCCACCTCAAGCCATAACTCTTTCTTTTGAGTTCCTGCAACATTTTAATAAACCATCCCTGAGTGCCCATCATGTGCCAGGCTGTGTACCATGTGCTGGGGTGCAATGATAAGCTCACAGATTGGTCAGGAAGACAGATACAGATAGTTCATCCCTCTTGTACAATAATTAATGATTTTCTTATCTGTCTTCTGTTCGCATGTAAGCTGTTTGAGCGTAGGGCCTGCCATAAAGTCATCTTTGAGGCTTCATTTCTTACTGTTCTCCTTAAATTCCCAAGCATCTAACAAGTACCTGCAATGTTGCGGGATTCTCAATAAATATTTGTTAGAACTTAGGAATATCAAAGAATATAAATGAAGGAAACATTTTATTACTCAGAATTGTATATCACTATTTAAAAACTATGTAATTTTTTAAATTCATAATTATAGAGCTACAATGAATGTAACATAGGAGGAAAGCAAACGGATAGACATCTACCACATATTTCAGAATCTTAATGAACTATATTAGTCTACTCATGCTGTCATAACAAAACACCACAGACTGAGTGGCTTAAACAATAGAAATTTATTTCTCACAGTCCTGGAGGCTGGAAAGTCCAAGATCCGGGTGCCAGCATGTTTGGGTTCTGGTGAGAGCTCTCTTCCTGGCTTGCAAATGGCTGCCTTCTCACTGTGTCCTCACAAGGTAGAGCCTACTCTTTCTTATAAGGCCACAGTCATATCAAATTAGAGCCCCATCTTTATGACTTCATTTAACCTTAATTACCTCCTAAAGACCCTGTCTCTAGATACAGTTACATTGGGTGCTAGGGCTTCAACATATGAATGGAAGAGAGGTGTGAGGTGACAATTCAGTCTGTAACATACACAATGCCATTTTTACCACATCAGAAACTTTCATGGTAAGTAAGAAGGTCTTTTATTCAACCAAATGGCATGCAATTTTGGAATTTTGTAGACAGCTGTCCATTAGCCTGAGGTCATCATAACACACTAGGTGTCATGATTCCAAGATATGCATAGGGGTGTTTGAGTGCTATAGAGACTAGAGCTTCGGTCTTTATGTATTTATTTATTTTTTAGGTGAGACATCCTGCCACCTGTTGGCAGCTCAGTGGCAGCTCAGCCCAGGCCGGGACTTGAGCTGCTGTTGCTCAGACCTCGCACTCTTGAGCGAGATCTTAACCAACTAAGCCACTTGGCCGGCCCTCAGAACTTCAGTCTTTAAATTGTCACTTGATGGTAACAGAACTGAACTGTAGTTAGTTAAAATGATTTTTGTTGATTTATTCCATTTCTTCTGCTTTCTTATATCACTCTTTCTCCTAGAAGACTTTAAGTACTAAAAGAATGTTTAAAGTTATTGGTAGTACAAGGAAGGAAAATGGCAAGGGGTAGATGTGAGAATAATTGGAATGTACCAAAGAGGTTTTAAAATAAAAAAGGCTTGATACTCCAGGTATATGAATGTGGCAATTTGCACTTTCCAAAGATGGCCATGCTAATATATATCCTGTCCCACATGTTTTTCTTACAATGTGATGCTGACCTTATATTTTCAAGATATACGAGCTACATTCCCTCCCCTTGGGTGGGACTTTGTCACAATATCAACAAATAGATGATGATGGAAGGGACGGTGTATGATTTTCAAGGATAAGTCATACAAAACATTGCAGCTGTCATCTTGGTCTCAGGGATTGCTTGCTTTCTCTTGGAGAAGCCAGACACCATAGTAAAGGGACAATAGAAGTGCCTTATAGAGAGGCCCATGTGATGAGGAATTGAGGACCCCAGCTTAGACGGCATCAACTGGCCAGCCATGTGAATGCACCACCTTGGATGTGAATCCTCCTGCCCCTATCAAGCCTTCAGATGAATGCAGTCCCAGCCAATATATGCCTGCAACTGCCTGAGAGTCCCAGTGAGAACTGCTCAATGGAGTCCTTCCCAAATTCTTAACCAACAGAAGCCCTGAAGGAAAATAAGTGATTATTATCATAAGCCACTAAGTCTCGGGGTGACTTGTTATGCAGCATTAGTTAACTTACATGGTATACTAGTAATGGAGGTGTATAAATGAATATAAGTAGCAAACTGGGCAAGAGTAGGAGTGAAAATAGTATCCAAAGAGAGATACGAATGGCGGGCAAATTTTACTAATAATTGCAAATAGAATTTTTCAGTATCCATAGTTTAGGTTAATTTTCTCCATTAATTAATAAAACAGAATTATCTTAGTAGTCGAAGTTGTTTTCTCATGAGTCTTACCTTGAAATCCCGCTCATCTTCATATAGTAAGTACTTCATATCAGAAGCCCTGAACTCTGTACTTGAGCTGTCTTTTGTATCTGTCTTCAGATGCTGGCCAGGTCTGATGCTGTCCTCATGACAAGGATGTAGAGCACTGATCTCAACAGCTGAGCTTCTCGTGTCTCTAGTTTTTACTTCTATAGGATGTGTAGAAGTTGACTCTACTGGGATGAACGAAAATAAATATTTTGTGTATATTTTGGACAGATAAAAATACAATACATACTTTGTCACATTTTTAATTTGAAAGATCTTTGAGCATCTCTTAGGGGAGAAGAATGTGAGAATTAGAAATGTAGAATCTATGTATTAGAGTGAGCCCCATTTTCAGAAACTCTAAGTTTTATTTCCTTCTCTTGGCTAATAAGTTACAGTCATCATATTGGCACCTTCGAATGTGCTGGGGTTTTTATTTGTTGGTTGGCTAAATTGGAAAACAAACCATGCCAGTGTAGAAAACACTCCATCCCTCTCCACCAGTGCCTATTTAAATCTCTGTGAAACATGGTGACTTTGATGTGCAAATCAGACCAGAGAAAGGAGTTGGGTTAGGACAAGCACTGCAGGAAGAAGAGGAATATGGAGGAGCTGGCATGTAGCTATTCCCCAAATAGCTCTTGGATATGAGATGACTTCCATAATGGATGCTCAATAAGTGTTTGTTAAATTAAAAAAACACACACAAAAAACAAAACCCATCACCATTACAATAAAATAGTACCTATATGTGTTTCTGGCAATTCCTCAGGCCTTTCTTCAGGTGGCATTTCCTGTCCAGCAGCTTGGGTAAGATATAGTCGCCTAAAAGAACAAATGAGAAAAGCAGTTTGTCAGTCAAAAAATGCTGTACACCTGCTCAGTAGTGTCGATCTCTCTGCTAGGTGCTGGAGACATATGGGTGAAAATGAGATACATTTTCTACTCAGGAGGAGCATAAGGCCCAGTGGGGTGGCAGACAGGCTTACAGTATTTTAGGGTGCTAGTTTGTATATGATGGGTGATTAACCTAGTGAGAAGTGCTGTGGGGCAGAGAGAAGAAGCACCTGATTTAGCCTTAGGAGGTAAAGGAGGCTTTCCAGGAGGAGATGAAACCTGAGCTGGGTCTTGAAGAAGCAGGGGCTGTTTTCCAGGGGAGAGTTTGGGGTGAAGGAAGGGCATTCCATGATAAGGGAATAGCGCACATAAAGTCCCAGAAATGAGAGTGAGCATGACACCAGTTTGGTCACTGTGGTAGTGATCCAGGTGAGAAATGATAGTGGTGTGAACGGGGTAGTTTTCAAATAAAGAGAAAAAGAAAGACAGCGAGCAGTAGGACTCCAAGATGACATGTAGGTTCTGGTTTTCACTGAGTGGCCTATTTCAGCTACAAGCCCACTGAGTTGTGTCTGCTGTTGCAGCTCTTTGCACGTGTATTTAACTCTGCTCCCCTTTTCAGATTCCCAGAAAATTTTCAATCAGAAAATATAATTTGAAAGGTTCACATGACATTTCCATTAGGTTTGCCTGAAGACAGCATGAAGCAACTGGACCCTTCTAGTTAAGCAAACAACTTCTCATGCTTAGCAGCTCAGCAACCAAAGTGCATGCCCTGGTTTACACGCTGTTGGTTATTTAAAGAACACGAATAAAGTGTTATTCAAAATGTTCAAGGCTCCAGCAAATAATGTAACTGCATACAATATATCTATAAAACCTTCTGAAGACTTAACTTAGTAAGGATTGATGTCATATATAGCTCTGGTCTGCAGGCAGACAGACATGCCTGAGGCCATAGGACTCCCTTCTCTTGGATCATTTTGAATAATTAAGATCTTACTAAATGCCATAACCTTCATAAATCTGGCTTCTCTTTTAATCATTAGCTTATTGTCACTCTTGTACCACCATAGGACAGCAGCACTTGATATTTAATGATATAGAAAATATTTTAAAGAATGTTATATGAAGTTAGTGTTAGATTTGTAGGTAGTAGTCCACTTAGCCTCAGCCCTGAGGCACATCCTGGGCAATCACCTCCGGCTGATATTCACCTCATCTAATGTGTCAGACAAATACTGTGATGTTCTATGTGACTTGTGACGGGAAAAAGTTTAGGGAGCTTGGGATGGGAAATGTAGTAACTCTATTAGCTAGGATACCCCATTCTTCATCCAAACAAGAAAACAGGATGTTTCATATGTCTACTGGGGACAGTTCATTTCTCACCACCCTACTAGTATTATACTGGACTGAATTCTCAATAAAGAGGTGGAAAGGTCAGTTACTATAAAATACGTATATAATATGTATTATATTTCTTTGACTTGAAAGTGGGTACAGTAAAAGCTCCTGAATATATTTAAAGTTATCCTTTCTGGATAAGAAGTGTAACAGATCATTGAGGGCTTACACTTTTCTCTGTTTCTTTATGTAGATCTTTCTAAATTATCCTAAACAGTTGTCTCAAGGAGTTTATAACCTAGCAAGGAAGCAGACATTAAATAAGTAATCACCCGTGTGATAAATGCTGGTTACGAGGGAAAAGTTCAGGGTGCCACAGAAGCATATACCAGGGCATGTAATCCAGTTCTTATAAATGTCCATGCTGTTTCTTTTTCCTTGGACAGATTTACTTTTTTTATTAGTTTCAGGTGTACAAAACAATGCAATAGTTATCCTTCTCACCCCTCACAAAGTGACAACCTCCCTCCCCCCATCCACTGCCCCCCCACTCCTGATATCATACTTATCTATTACAATTCCACTGACTCCATTCCCACTCTCTACCCCACGTCCCGTGACTATATCCTTGGACAGATTTTGGTTTTCTCTCTCCCAACTCTGAAACAAGACTAAGCGCTCATGTTTCTCACCAAAGAAAATCAACCCACAGAGCACTGATGAACAAGGTGGATTTTACTGAAGATTTTTGTGGGGAAGACAGAGGATAGGGTTAAATGGCATATGACACAGCAAACACCTGAATGAAAATCCCCACTGAAAGCGTCTCATCTCCCTTCCTGCCCTTGTCAAGTTCTCTCTGTCCAATGAAAGGATCTCCTGGGTTAGGATTAGCACTTCACTTTCTTGTCAGCACCAAATCAGATACAGCTGACCGAGCTGACCAAAGCAGGAAGCGAGGTTGGCAGTTTACAGGGTGACTTTTCTAAGGTTTGGCTGGGTCAGAAAAGAGGAAAAGAGTACAGTGGAGAGCAGGTAGAGCAGTGGTTAGAAGCCACAGCACCAGCAACAGCTGGCAGAGATTAGATATGGTTACAAAGATGGCGGCAGGAAGGGCAGATGGCAAGGATTAGAGACAGGCAGGAGTGTGGAGCTGGGGACCTGATCATAGAGGGGAGGGTTCACAAAAGAGAGCAGTGTCTACTGGGGGGACAGGGAGGACCCCACCTCCTAGGGGCCCTCAAGGGCATCAGCTTAATAGTCTGGATATACAGAAGTCCATAGATCAACCCATTCATCCAGTTTAACCTCCTACATCATCTCTAGTAGTATTGACCTCTCCCGGGCAGCACACACATGTTGAGGAAGGGAGAAAGTTGGCCCCTTTCTCCATCCTGCTTTCAGACTATGCAGTCATTGTACTGTCTCCCAATTTCTCCAATCTTGTATCCTGACACCTATCGCATAACCCATCAAACAAAAAACCCCAAAGCTTATCTGCACCCACCCTTCTTGGGACACATTAGGAAGTTTGCAAACAACAAATACTTTACTGTATCTCAAATAGCATTTTTCCGTAGCACACAAGCAACAGGAATGACTTGGGTGGGAATTTTTCCCTGGCGCTTCCACCATGTTGAACTTCTCTGCTTTAATTCCTAGACCCAGACATTCCTCTCCCATCTTGCAAATGTGTACCCTACATTTGTGTGATTTATTTCCCCTCTTTCCCTAAACACGCTGCTATTTAGATTGTTTCTGACTGCTTATTTTAATTATGAGTGCCACTTTTGAGTTTTAAATTCTGTCACATTCCCGGGCCCTGATTTTCCATCAGGATTGGTATATAAAGACTTCTTTTTCAGGGAAGAAAAAGAGATAACCTCAAATACAAAGCCATGTACACACATTTGGCTTTTCTTTTACAGGAATAGATGTGACTTGGAATGCCAGGCTATTTCCTCTGCCTAGAAAGTAGTTTGACCCTTTCATTAACCACCAAAGGAGACAATTCATAGTCCAAAGGTAACCAGAAGCCCAGAATGCTTCCAGGAAGACACCACAAAGTTGATAACTACCATCTTTGTGCTAACTTTGTACCTCATACACCTTCCTCTGCACTGTTATGTATTTAATTTCAAGCCCATTTCCCCTGCTGGCCTGAAGTCCTCTGAAGGTCAGCACTTGTGACGTTTGTGTTAAGTGTTTGCTAGTATGACTGCAGTGCATTGCTAGAAAAAACAAGTCAAAGTTTGTACTCTACTAATGGACAATTGTAATAATCTCATACCTTCACTGTGGCCATTTTGTGAGTTCCTTTCTTTTCAACTATTGCAATCTGGCTGAGGCATTAAAGAATTAAATTATCTTGAAAAAAATAACTTTACAGATATAAGTACTTTCTAGATACATTAATAAATTTCACCTGGGTATGTTGAGATCCACAAGTCTACAGTTGAATAGTTGATCAATGAGCACCAAATTTTCTTCTTCCAGTTCATGAACGGCTTTTTCCAATATTTCAACTTCCTTCCTTTGATTTGTAACCTGTTTTTAGAAAAAGCAAATGAATCATTGGTACTTACTTAGTTCTATTTAGTCTTCTATAAGAAATTCAACTCCTAAAAGTGCTTTTGCCTGAGGGGAAGATCTATCCTGTATTATTTATTCCTGGGTTTGCTTTGTCCTTCCTTTCTAAAAAGGAATGGGCATAATTCATTACCAGGTCGTTTGCAGAACTTGTTTGCATGGTAAGGCAGTTTTTACTGAATGGCAGGAGCTGTCCTTTTCTACCCTTCAAAACATCACTGGACTTACATATGAGCTAGAGGCAGAGATAAATAAGAAAATATGACTAATTTATCAGTATGGCATACTAATAGCTAAATGATCTATATGGAGTTAACAAGAGCATGTACGTTCTAGGCAGAAGGAATGACGTGCACAGGCACAATTATTTTGGTGTGGATAGATATAAAGTGGGAGTGGGGAGAAGTAGGAGAGGAACTAGACTATTAGGGAAGAGGCAAATAATGCTAAAGAGTCTGGTTTTTGGCTTAGTGGGGATGAAAGGCCATTGATAGACATAGCAGGTTTAATTAACATTTACTGACGAAATATGGCTAACTCAAATCTGAACACAATTTGCTGGTTCCATTGATACAGTTCTCATCAGTCTTCAAGAAGTGTATTTTGATAACTTTTGTCTAAAGTAGGCTTGATACTGCGGAGAATATATAGAAGAATGTTACTAGATAGAATCCCCAACTCACCTCTCTCTCCCAAAACAGGTGCTGGAATGAGATGACTCATGGGAGGAGGTCAGAACAACAGAAGTAAGAGTATAAAATAGAAAGTGATAGGCTGGTGAGGAAAAATAGAAAGATAAACTGGGAAAAGTAATGTGTCTCGAGGAAATATGATGAGACAAGAAAGGCACAGGGGTTTAGATTCAGTATCTCTTGTTAGGAGTTGCCAAGAGTATAACTGAAATGAGTACTTAGAAAGAGATAACTAACATTTTTTATTTGTAATTGAGATTTAATTATTGTATTTTAGAATCTGAAAGCATTCAGTATATTACCATACGAATATTTCTATCATATAAGTCTTTCTTTCTCTCTTTCTTTATTTATTCATTTATTTATTTTATAAGTCACTTATTAAATAGGCAAGGTTTTGTGCTAGATGTGGAAAGGACACAAAAGAATTAGTCATGGCTCCTCTCAAAACAGCTTACAATCCAGCAAACAAATATACCAATAATATATTATAAAACAATACCAGTGTCATAGAAAAGGCTCAAATATTGCTGGTGGGTTGGAGTTAGAAAGAAGAGAATATATTATCCACCTGCTTTAACCAATTTAGCAAAACCATTTAAGTCCATAATAGTAAATTACAAAGCTTGGGATTGGTGATTTAGGATCTCATATGTTGAGAAATAATCAGTTTGATTACAAGCTTGAATGCCTTAAGGAGAAGTTTATAATTTTCAAATGTCAAACGATGAGAAAGAAATTACAGTTAGAGGTTGTAAACAGAAGGAATTAATAGAACATTTGGAAATGTTTGACCTAAGGCCTTGGCATGCTTGGGAGGCAACACACACAGTTCTTGATCTCTTTCCAAAGCTGGGAATGAGGGCCCTTTTGGGGAGATAAGTCCAACTTTTCAAGCTAAGGATATCGTGTGACATCACCTATCCCTTTGGAGTCCTAAGTAAGGTTCTCATCAATGGCTGTCTCCCTCCCAGGCTTTTGAAATGTTAGCAAAATAAAAACTAGTTTCTTTTTAAACCCAAATAAATACCTTTAGATTTCTGGGGTAAGCAATTGAAAAAGAGGAAGTAGAGCACCACTTTTCCCTCCCCGACATGGCTCCTCCCAAAACACCTAAGAAATGTACTTAAGAAATTGGAAAAGATAATTTAGTTAAAACTTAATAGTTAATAATTTAGTCAGGGACCTAGGATCCTGAGTAAGGTATATGCTCTTGAAATTTTCCTCTGCAAGATCCAAGTTAGTTTTATGCCTCCTCACGCTCGAAACTCGGATTGCTAACCTCTTTGAATGCTTTTATCTAGTTTTTCTGGCTTTCCATTTGTTAAGTTAGTCTAAGTCATTTGGAAATTTCAATTTTCTTCATTTTCCTAATAAGCTTGCTAAATAAAACCAGATAATGAAAGTCATGCAACAGGATGTCTCATATCCTTCCCAGGGACCTAAGCTTTGCATTATTGTTGAGAGAGAGTTAAATGGAGAAATATTTTCAGGCGTTCCATTATTAAATATCCTTTGATACTCATTCTAAATCTCCCTCAAAGAAATTAATCGACATACATTGTTCTATTTCCAGGCAATTTTCAATTCTTGTGATAGTACTTATAACCAGAAATGGTTTTAATTAATTTTGTGAGTAAATTTAATAATGCTAAAATTAATATTTATTGAAATAAAGAGAAATTAAATTTATTGAATTTTCTTAAAATGATTTGTCCTTTATTACTAAGCTCTTTTTGCTCAGGATTCAATTAAACTTGACATTTTTTTGTCTTTTATTTCCATTGAATTATGAGAAGTAAAAAAATAAAACAAAACAAAATGTAATTTGTGGCTGTGGTAGGAAGGATCAAGGCACCAAAAGAGCACTTCTTATCAGTCAAATATACATTTTTATAGTCATTTTCTCTAAACCAATCTATGACATCCTATAAAATATAAGGTTTGAACTGTGAAATTATTATCATTAGGAACATACTGTTGATTTAATAAAAGTATAAGAACTAAATTCCTCCCTAGTATTCTTTAACTATTGAGCTCACCTTGAGTTTTTTAAATTAACACTTAATTTTTTAAATTGGGGATTCATGTTGATTAGTTTTTGGAAATAGTATGGACTCCTATTTACCATGACTTTATAAAGGCAATTTAAAGATAATTGTTAATATCATAGAAAGCATATTAAATTTTACATTCCTTGTTTCCTAGACTTACCAACTCTATTTAGTCAAATAGGGAGCAAGGTAAAGGGAAAAGAAGGTGACATTTTTACCTCAAGTGTCTTAGCAGATGGTTAAAAAAATGCAGAAAGAAAATTTAAGGAGAAATTCAATGGATTCTGCTTTAGGTATGTTGAATTTGAAGTGCTTTTGGGACATACAAGTGGAATTATCTGGCAGGCAAATAAAAATATAGGTCCAGAGCTAAGTACAAACACAAATTAATGCTGAAGATATATTTTTGAGAATCACATATAATAACTAGCTAACAAGAGCTGTGTGCTGTTAAAGTGAATTCTCCCAAAAGATAGTGAGTTTTCTTTCACAGATAGCACGTAAGCATAGGTTCAGTTGCTACTTGTCTGGATATAAAAGGAATTTACAAGTAAGTACTGTAGTGAGTTTTGCACATTTGTAACATTTGCACCTTTGTACCACTCTTGTAATATCTAGGTGAAAGATTACCTGTCTGTTTCATCCAATAACATGTTCTTACATCTTTACCCAACATCTAAGCCATATATTTGATTCACCCCTCCAATAAATATATCTATATAATCATAGTCATTCTTTCTTTTAAACTAATTAGCATAGATGATTTATTAGGTTTCATGGATACATAGTTGAAAAAGCATAACCTGCTCTGTGCAGTGAAGAGACAGGTACATAAACAGACAATTTCAACATATTTTAGTATGAGTTATAATGAAACGAGAGAACACTGGGGAAAAAGCACTTAAGACTCCCTGAGGCAGTTTCAAAATGATTCACAAAGAAATTGATAATCAAAGTCAGTGCCTAAAGGAAGAGTTGACATTTTTCAGGCAGATAAGGGTAAGGAGGTAAGGACAGAGTGACTAGTACGTGTAATGCCAGGAAAACAGGGCAGTACCCTGTTATAAAGAATGTCTAGAGGTCCTCACATGACGATATCCAACAAGAGCAGTGTTACAGCCCTGGTATAGGGAGACAGGTGAACAGCTGGGCCCATTATTTCCTGTATGATCTCCAGGAGGAGATGTGAAGAGAGCCCGAGGATCAAGCTGGGATGGGATGGGATGTGGAGATGGCAGTAGGCAGGGACATCTTGACCACTGGCAAATGGCTGTAACTGTGGGTTTGGTGTTGGCTGCAACACAATGTCCAAAGGGCCAGAGCCATACATTTTAAAGTCACCAAGGCAGGAAGCAGACTAAAGCACTTCCTCTGTAGCACAAAGGCAGAGGGAGCAAGGATTTAAAGGAAACCCCATAGATCTGAGCCCTCTTTACTGACACTCCCCACAAGAGGGCATGTAAGCCCCACCCCCCTATACATCAAGGATCCATCTTAGAGAAGAGCAGGGGGAGGAAAGAAAATGTAAAAGACTGAATGTTGATTCAACGGAGATCATGTCATCCCAAACGGGCAATTTACAATAGCAGACAATGAGGTCAGGATGATCCTATAGCCTTGCTCCCATTACCCAGAAAGAAGCAGGGTCCCGAGGAAGACCAGATCAATTTTAGGGCATAAAGAAGCTTTGAGTATATTTTGTGAGCTGTGATGCCAAAAATGATTTCTGGTTATTATTTAAATTATTTATGGTATGCATCGAGTAATAGCTTGTGATAAAATTAAGACTCCACTTGAAATTTATTTTACCTCAGCGAGTCACGGTTCCATGCTTTTCCCATGACTTCAGTTCATAAATAAAAGTCACTTACAGTTCAAAAAAAAGAGAAAAAAGAAATTGTTATTAAAAATTCCACTCACCTGTCTTTTTAGCCAGTCATTCTCCCAGATCTCTTGATAGCTTCCCTTGTCAATGAATGTTAGAGCATTCTAAAAGAAAGTTTCTCCATTTAGGTAAAGTTGCCACATGGCGAGTCACAGTTTTAGCAATGATGATGCACAACTAACTTATATGATCATTCATTTTACATTATGTTTTGCAATTACTTTGGAAACATACCTAAGAACTTTTGGTTCAGTTGTTCTTTCTTTACTTTCCTACGTTCTTTACTTTCCTACTGTTTTTGCTGATTGACACTGCTTGATATAGGCAATGTAGAGAAATGGACAATGGCTGCCTATTCAATTGAGCCTCCATTGTGACTGAGTCTGACTGCCACCGTGAAATCAACCATTGAGTGACCTGCTCTATAATTAAGATGGCTAAGTTGCAGTGATCAACCATTCTTCAAGTAAGCCAACATATAGCAAAAGCGTGAATAGATTGCATTATTATCTTTTCTAATTTGACTCTAAGCCACTTTCAAGGCCTAAAACTTTATGATCCTTTGCCCTTTCAATTCTGATTTGTGTGACCTAAGAAAATCCAGAGAGAATAGAGAGCCTGTACTTCTTCATCTCTATCTTCCTTTCTTGCTATGAGTCCAACTCAGAACCAGGTCTACTGATTTTTACAGACCCTCTACCACTCTCTCTCCTTTTCTCATCTCAGTAATAACAGTATACATATTTACAAACCTAATAGCAAATAGTTTCAGGATGGCAGGCTATAGCTAGACAATCTCCTGGATAAAGGCATTTTTAGACTAAGAAGACAGGCAAAGCCTTACTTAGTCAGTAGGTTCATAAAATGGAAATTCATTTTTAATTACTTGGATGTTTACAGCTTCACCGAAAGGAAATTTATAGTGGATGATAGATCATATTTATCTGTGGGGTACTTTTACATGGATACCATGTTATAGATTTAATAGTCAACAACTGAAGGGCACAACTAAAAGAAGAGAAGTTAAGAAAAATCTTCTCATTCATAAACATGGACAGAAATAGTTTTAAAATGTTAAAAATAAATTTATCCAAATCTTTAGAGTAGGAAGATTTGCAATAATTTTTTTTCTTTAAATCATGCTAATTAACTAAGAACTGACCTACATTTTCTAGGAACCAGGAACTTCTACATTCCAGCTACAATTGATATTTCTGAAGTTTCCTCAAACATAGAATTTCATTTGAACAAAAGTAGGAAGTAGCTCATAACTGAAGTTAGTTGGCTAATGGCCTAATGCACTGACAGTAGAGCCATAGTCTTCAGCTTTGGCCACACATTAGCATCTCCTGGATGCTCTGAAAACCGGAAGCCCATGCAACATCCCAGGCCAGTTACATGAGCATCTCTATGGGTGGGTCCCAGGCATCACCAGGGTTAAACAAATTTCTCAGGTGACTTCAATATGCAGCCCAGGATGTGCAACAGTGGATTATAGGAAGTTAAATTATATGTTAACATAGCTAGATAAATAGAGGAAAATTCACTCATGTATGTGGGTGTTTGTTTTCATAGAGAGAAGAAGTGTATAGTGTAATGATTAAGAGCAGTGACTTGAAGGAGACATCTTGAATTGAATCTCGATTCTGTCACTTGCTCTGGGCAAATTACAAAATTTATTGTGCTTCATTTTTCTTATTAGCAAGTCTCTACCTTACAGAATTGTTGAGAGACTTACATGTAAAATGTTAGGAACAATATCTGGAACAGTCCTCATTATATAATATTGAACATGTATAGTAGAAGCATATTTGATCTACATATATACTTTTAATCATCTTAACTATAGTCAAATCACTTAATTGTTGATTTCACCATTTAGTCATATTCAGTTACAAAGTGGCCAAATTGCATGGGCAGACAAACCATTGGTCAGTTCTCCATACTCCTCTGTATTTGTGTAATCAGTAAAAATAGTGTAATAAGATAATAACAGTAAAAGAACAATTGAACCAACAGGGAAGCAATAAACAATTACAAGTGAAATTCAGTGAAGAACTTTAGAAAAGTCCAGACATTTATGATTCTGAAGAAGAGATGTGCCAGATGAAGAGACAATCCCAGCAGGGACCTCAGTGATTTAGGAATAGTCTGAGGACAGGAGAAGGACACGGAAAAGAAAAGAGAGTCATATCTTTTGTGCAAAACAAAGAGATTAGAAAACATACAAGACTGGAAATTATATCTCAAATAGCTTTTTATATCCCAAATTTTTAGAGCTCAAGCAATGTAAAGAATACTCTTAGGTTTGGATATGTAAGAAAGTACTTTTTACTTTTTTAGACAAATTACATTTCATTCTCTAATTCATCCAAAACTTTTATTTAATAATTCATTGTAGCCATTATTGTTATACTTAAAAAAATAGCTGAATAATAATTTACTGAGCTCTCATTCCTTATGAGGCACTATTCTGCTTAAATCATCTCGGTCAATCCTCATACTATTTATTCTTTATTATTTATTTATTTATTTATTTATTTTTAATTTTTTTTTAGCTGAGCCATCCTGCCATCTGTTGGCAGCTCAGCGGCAGCTCAACTCAGGCTGGACTTGAACCCCTGTTGCTCAGAGCTCAAACCCTTGAGTGAGCTCTTAACCAACTGAGCCACTCAGCCGGCCCTATTTATTCTTTAAAGGTAAATATTATCGTCCCCTTTTTATAGATTAGGAGACTGAAGCCCAGAAAGTTCAAGTAACAAATTTAGTTTATATACCCAATAAGTGGTAGAACTGCAGTCTGAACTCAAACTGCCTAACTTAAGAACCCAAGTTCTTAACTATGATAACATATCACAAGAAAAAATAGGGGGGAAAGTTTTATTTTGTTATTCAGAAAATTGAAATATACCTGTGTGGCCCATTCCTTCTTTTGGTCCAGTTGCAACAAAGTTTCTCTGTTTATTCTCTTTCTAGCATCTTCCAGAGTGATTTTATACTGTTCTTTAAAGAGAAAATTAGAAGCCTTAACAAGACTGATCAGCTAAAACTACGATGTTTGTAGAGTTTATCTTCTATGATACTCACTTCTCCTTTCTACACATTTTTCCCCTGAATTTTCAGGGTACATGTTTAATGAAGCATCTAATACCTCCAATGAGAACAAACGCTCTCAATAATTTACTAACATCTTAATGTGAATTAGTTTAGAATGATATCTCTCCCAAGAATATTTGTATTTGAAAGGATTCTCTCTCCAAAGGGAGACTTTCCAACACTTGTGTGGCCATCGGCTGTTCATGTCACACATCTTTTCTGATTCCACAAAAGAAATAGAAAGAAGATTTGATTATCCACTTGCATAGCATCCTGTACATCCGACTCCATCTAACTGAATTTCCAATGTTCTTGGCATGTGTTTCCTGGGACAGGAAAGACAAAATGAGAAGAGAAAAGAGAGAGGTAGAGGATCTGTGAAAGTCAGTAGACCTTACTCTGAGTTGGGTTCAGGGCAAGAAAGGAAAACAGAGATGAAGTGCAGATTCTTTATTCTCTGCCAACTTTCTCAGGTGATAAATGTCAGAATTGAGAAAGCAAGGGGTCATAAAATTTTAGGCCTTGGAAGGTGCTTAGAGATCATATAATCAACACCCCTGTTTAAGGAAAGTGCTTATTTTCCTTAAACAGTGACATTGAGGCTGCTTTACAAAGTGAAGAGAAATAAAGCTGGATAAATGAGTCTGGTTTGTTCATTGTTTTATACAACCAGTCATCATCAAGCTTTTTTGATATGCGGGACACTATTGAAGGCACAGGGAGTACTCAATAAGAGACAAAACTCCTGTCCTTAGGACATGTACATTTTAGTGGGGAAGGCAGACCATAAGTACATAAGCAAATAGATAGTATTTCTGGTGGTGATGTGTGTGATGAAGAAAAACTAAGATTCTCTATTTTAGATAAGGTGATCAGAGAAAGCTTCTTTGAGGTGGTAACATTTAAGCAAAGATTGAATAATGTGAGGGAGTCAGCCAGGTGCAACAAGAGGGAACTAACTGTACTACTTCAAATTCAAGAATAAAGTTAGTTGTGCTTTATGAGAACATCTATGTTATATGTCCCCATTAGTTGTGTGGTTTTTTTATGACTGAAGGATAATTATTTGGAAGTCAGGAAGTATTTCCCCATAAAAATTATGACAATTGTGGTTGCTAGATTTCTGGACTGGTCCAGAGACCCATTCAACTTATTCTGTAACTATTGTTAAATAATAGTATTGAACCTATAGTGCTACAGAACCTCACTGCCATTTAGGACATTGTTTCAAAGGGAAAAGTTTCTCCATAGACCAATTAGCCAAAGCAGAACTCTCAAGAATCTTTGGCTGCAGGGCAGGAGATCTGCAGGTCTGGTCTTGCAATAGTTTGGAGCCAAGCTAAGGCTCTGAAAAGGGGGCTCCGGGGCTAGGCAAGAGTTATTGAGCCCTCCTCTGTACTTGGTTCTGGCCTACCTACTTCTCTAATTTAGATAAAATCTCTGAAAGCAGAGTGTAAAAACTTTCTTCCCTATCTTTCTATGACTGCAGCCCCTGAGATACAACAGATTGAAAATATGTTGGAAAAAAATGAAATTTGGCCAACTGCTATTCTTTGGCAGGCAGCGATCTGTGGTTTCGACACAGGGCAGCAGCAGCCTCAGTAGCAACTTTGGTGGGGAGGGGAAGGAGAGAGCACCCCAAGTTGTGGAATGGCCAGAAAGGGGGCAGGAATGATCAGTTTCTGCCTCTAATGGAATTGGAATGAGAGTGTCTGACTGAGGCAGCAGTTTATAAACAAGAGAGTTCATGAGGTTTTGGGGACTGGTCTAATGTCTTGACATCTGGAGAAGAAGAAAACGGAAGTCTTCATTATTCCAACCTACATATGCTCATCTCTATAACATGCATTTTTCTTACTTATTCAAAGTAATCACTTGAATATATTAATCATCCCAATTTGATTTCTGATGGAATTTCTTTTTTAATTCAGGATCTAGTCCACTAGACTAACGCTGGGTATTATTTGAACTTTCTACCCAGCAAAACACAACAATTGGTCTGAAAGTTGCAGTGGATCAGGAGTTTAGCTGTAATGGATTTTACATTATAAGCATCTGAAAGAAACCATAAAACGTGGAGCTTGATAACGTTAAATATTAATTCTCTGCTGTAAATCATAAAAAAACCAATGGCCAAATACGATGCTCTGACTAAAGTTGTGGCTCTCTCTATTGCCATATTAATATGGAAAAAAAGCAATAACATCAACTCTGTTCCAAATTCCACGTAAAATACTATCGACAGTTTTTCTTCTTAAAAGCAGAGTAACCAGCACAAGGGAGGATGTGAAAATCTCGTTGTTATCCTTCGCAATTTAGGTGATGTTTCAGGTAACAACTATTAAACCATTCATTTGTGCATACAGCCAAAGAAACTGAGAGCATGTAAAAGTCTCCTTCTCATAAAAGTTTGAGACATGGTAAATGGAAGTGTGGGGGATGATGACTTTGTGCCTTGAGGCTCCTGGCTGCTCGGATGCCGGGTCCAATGTAATCACGTCTCAAGCTGACCGCAAAACCAGCTGGCTGCAGCTTTGCTTTGCATTGTTCTCCTTTCTCTGTTACATCTGGCTCTGCTTTGGTTTACTCCTCCACAGCTTCTGGGGAGTCTGTTGTCCACTCCTCACACACTTCTGGTGTCACACAGCTTTATTGTGCGGATCCTCTGCTGTGGTGGTGGCCTCCTTTCAGCCCCACCTGGAGAAAACTGAGTAGGGGCAGGCGGCAATACTGGCCATACAGAAGTTTCCTCAGGCCCAGTGTGTGTTAGAGCGCCATCCCTACCTCACTGAATCACAGAGCTGGGGGACGATTGGAAGCACATTGGTTTGGCGTCGGACACACCTGGGTTCAAATCCCATTTCCACTCCTTACTAAGTTTGTGAGTTTGGTAAAGGCAATTAACTTCTCTGGGCCTCTGTTTCCTCATTGTTAAACTGTGATATCTAGCTCAAAGGAACTTGTAAGGCTTAGATGAGATAAGGTGTAGAAAAGCTGGTGCGAGAAACGTGAGCGCCCTCGGAGATCACCGAGGGACTTTCATGTTACAGAGGAGGCAATTGACACTCGAAGAAGTAATGCTACTTTTTTGTAAGTGGACTTGAACCCAAGTCTTTTAACTCACTATCAGTGTACAAAGAACTTTTATGGATACCTGTCTTATGTACCAGGCGAAAGATAAAAGTAAAAACGATCTGTGACTCTAATATCTAATGACTTGTGTAACCCCACACTTTCTCTATTCCCGGGCGTAATCCAAGGTTTCCTTTCCTTTTATTAAGAGAAAGCGCCTTGTCCTGACTATAGCAGTGACTGTGTTTCCTATACCCGATATTCTAATATCTAGCTAAAGTTCAGGGAAGCAGCTCTAGGTTTTCCCTTCCTCTGCCCCCCCAGGGCTCAGTGTGGCTACTGGACAAGGCAAAGGGCTGCACGGCTGACCGAAGAATGGTTTGTGCTGGGTCTGACCCTTGACCCATGAGGAGGCATGGACAAAGCTCTTAGGTCATCTCTGAAGACACCTGCTCTCTTCAGAGTCTGGGCTCGAGAATCCTGCAAGAATTGGTCTGCGGGAAGCAACAAGAGAATGGGTACTGGCACAGAGCAAAGCAGAGGTGCCCCAAGAGGGACCGTCACGGACCATGGGAGATAAATGTAGGGAAGGACCATCCCTAGGGCCACCACTCATCTAATGGTCTTCTGTTTCCATCAGTCCTTCCATGCCTCGCTAGAAGAGTTATGTCTGAGAAACATTACCATGGGACATCAAGCAACCCGACTTTTGTCTCTTCCCTTTAAAATTCATACTGTGAGGCTAGTAACTCTGTCTCAGTAAGATACATGGCAAATCCAAGGACTTTTCTGGTTCCTTTTGGATCATAAGAGGTCCTCCAATCAGTAATTACTATGTCCAGTTTTTTGCCATAATCAGACTTTCAACTTCATTCAAAGTTATGGCGAGTCCCCTTCCTAGCTTGGACCTACGACCATTTTCTGTGACTTGAGCTTCTGTGGCTCCTCCCTCAGGGCTGAAGGGCAGCTGGAAAGGGACAAGAAAGCTCTCACTTGACTGACACTGCCTTAAGCTAATGTCCTACTTTCTGGTCCTCGCTGGCATTTAGGTTTGATTCCTCCTCTCGTGGGGGTGTTTTTATAGTTCTTCAGAGGATCACCTTCCCCATTGCTAGTTACATTTCTCCTGCGTTTCCTTCATGCAGGGGATGCACTGTCTTTGGAGGTTGGCTAACAGTTTTTCCTTTGGCCTCTGGTTCTCAGTCTTCTCTTCCCTCCCACATATACAGGCTGTATTTCTCTGTTGGGCACCATCACCTCAGTTAGCCTAAGGCAAGATTTAACAGGACTACACATCAGCTCTCTCTCACAACAGGTCCACAAGAGATACTCCTTCTCTCTCTCTGCCACAACAAATTCTGGGATTGCAGGCTGCTTATAGACTGAAGGTTTGTGTCCCCCGCAAAACCCATACATTGAAACCTTTACTCCCCAATGTGATGGTATTTGGAGTGGGGCCTTTGAAATGTCATTAGGTCAGGCCGGCTTAGTGGCTCAGTTGGTTAAGAGCTCGCTCAAGAGTGCAAGCTCTGAGCAACAGGGTCGCCGGTTCAATTCCCAGCCCGAGCTGAGCTGCCAACAGGTGGCAGGATGGCTCAGCTAAAAAAAAAAAAAAAGAAAAAAGAAAATGGTGGAAGAATGTCATTAGGTCAGGAGGGTGGAGCCTGCATGAATAGAATTAGTGCCCTTATAAAAGTCACCCCAGAGTCCCCTTGCCCCTTCCATCATGTGAGGACACAGTGAAAAGGTGGCCATCTATGAACCGGGAAGCAGGCAGGCTCTCACCAGACACCGAATCTGCTGGCACCTTGACCTTGACCTTCCTAGCATCCAGAACTGTGAGAAATAAACTTCTGTTATTTATAAGCCACACAGTGTATGGTATTTTGTTACAGTAGCCCAAATGGACTGAGATGCAGGCTTAGCTCAGGGCAGTGGCCACCTCTGCTTTGCTCTACTGTCAGGCCTGTTAGCGAGTCAGCCACGTATTCCTTAGATTTCTCAGGGATGGGTGATAAACTAGATCTCAGTGTTCCCCTAACTGTAGGGCACACATCAAATAATCTGAGGAGTTTCCTTAAAGAATTTCCATCTTGATTTGAGATGAAGGATGAATTACCCTTCACTTGCCCTTTTGAGGGACAGTGTAAAAATAGCACACCAAGAGCTAATTCCAAAAACTGTCCCCTAATTTCTAGCAATCTTTTCTTGGCCTCTCCAACTTCTTTTATAGACTGGAGTTCTGTGGTTGAAAGTATGAAACCAGTTTTCTGCCTCATCACATTGAAAGTTTGCATGGTGGTATCACACTTTACTTTGAAATTTGGTATCCATTATATGGTCACCCCAGTTTAAACAGAGACTGAAAAAGTTTCATTTTAATATCCTGTTTCACTTATAATAACCCTCCCCTTTTTTTCCTAAAATACTTGTTCCTTGCAAATATAATAGACTAACACAAACCCCACGAGAGGAGAATTCCAGAAAAATCATGGAAGGAGGGGGGAGGTGGGAGAAGAAGAGGAGAGAATGGTTGTAACGCTTCAGATAAGTTGAGTTAGGGGTCCTGCTCTTATTCATTGTGTCTAATCAGTGATCCCCAAAGTGCTTTAAAATCCCCCAGAAGAGCTGCTGCTGCATGGTTAGAAGTGCCTCAGACTAATAGCAAATAAGAAAAGCCCATAACAGCCATTTTTCCATGACACCTAACATCGGCGATAAACTGAGGTACAACCAGCAAGTAATTCAATATATAAATGTTATTACCACCATCCCAAAGTTGGATACAATAGCATGAAAATTTTTAGTGCAAAGAAATCATCCAAATTTCTAACCAAGATAATGGGTTAAGTTTAAAAATATAAAATAAAGAAATGCTAGATAAATTATTTTTAAAAATTTAAATATGCCAGAACAATAACTATTGTAAAAGTATGGTACTGGGGCACAAATACAAGACAGATCAATGGAACAGAATAGAAAGTACAGAAAGAGATCCAAATACACGTTGGAAATTAAAGTGTGATTAAAGTCAGTATCTCAGATCAGTAGGGTAAAACAGATTATTTGATAAATGATGTTGGGACCACTGGGAAAAAAATCCCAGAAATTTAAATATAAAAATGAAGCCATAAAAATTCTAGAAGAAAATATTAGAGAATTTATTCATAATCTCAGAACTCATAAAATCAAAGACTGATAAATTGGGCACTATAAAATTACAAACTTTACTCATACATACACCCTACAAACAAAAGACTAATGACAAATGGGGGAAATATTTGCATCTTATGTAGGTTAAAGGGCTAATTTCCTGAAAGTGTAAAGAGTTCCATAACACAATAGAAAAATGAGCAAAGGAAGTGAACAGGTGGTTCACATAAAAGGAAATTCGTATGTTTTTGAACTTAAAAAAAGATATTCACTGGTGCTTATAAAAAGAGACATGGAAATTAAAGCTACCATGATGTACTGTTTCCTAACCATAAGATTGACAGAGAAGAAAAATTTGGATAATATCCCCTGTTGTTGAAGATGTGAGAAGTGAGGCAACTTCATGCATGCCAGGAGGAGGAAACTCAGTACAGCTCCATGGAGGGCCACACCTATCAAAATAATAATAAATGGGCTGCTTGGGCCAGCAATTCCTCTTTAGAGATACACATACATGAAATTACACAAATACAAGAATATTCATTGCAGTAATATGAGATATGTGTAAGGGTATTCATTTCAGCATTGTTTGTAATAGTAAAAGACTGCAAACAACCTAAATGCTTATGAGTAGAGGACTGGTTAAAAATTATAGTACAACAAAACAAAGTAGCCATTGGGAGAAATGACGCAGTACTCATACGTACCGATTTCTAACGATGTCCATACTGTTACATGAAAAAACAAGGGAAAAATCGCATCGGTAGCATGCTGTTTGTGACATATGTATGAATATATTGAAATATGCATAGAATATTTCTGGAAGATTACATAAGAAATCGGTAATAGTGGTTTTGTCTAGAGAGAGGGTATGTGTGGCTGGATGTAGTCGGGGGTAGGAGGGTGTCACTCTCTATACTTTTCTTTTGAGGAGGAGAACCTTTTGAAAAATTGTAACTCCAAGCGCAAACTGATTTGGAGCCAGATTTACACCACCATTTGAGGCGCAGCGGCCCTGAGCTGAGAAGTCTATATAAAAATTAGTCCAGGATTGGAGTGTCTGGACAGGGCCTCAGCAGGGCATGATAGGAACGACCTCGCATGAACCCTCTGCAATGTAGGGCACCATCACCAGGTGGGCTCAGAGCTGTGATCCACCCACAGTGTTCCTCAGGCCAGATTTCTCCCATTTGTTCTATCATTTGACTTTCCTGTCTCTGGGGCCCTGGTGTTCTTTTAAGCCATTATGCTCACAGGTGGTCTCATGGTTCCCAAAGCTAAGCTTCCTCACAGCTGATTCCATCCTGTTCCATCCCGCTCTCCACTTCCCGTCTCATGTTTGTTCTCATAGTGTTTTCTGACTACAACTTAGCATTTACTTGAACATATCTCAGTATGTAATGATTCTGGTTGTCTAGCCTGGCTAGGTTGCTGTAGCTTGCCTCGGTGAATTTCCTTTCTAATATAACCCAATCCCAGGCCGCTCCTGTCTCAGTGGCCTTACCGCACACCCAGGCATGGGAGCACACAGACACCACCCACTGAGTGAAACTTTGTCCTTGAAATCAGTTGCTCTCAGGGTTCCTCCACACTTGCCTCTCTATCCTTTTACTTGCCCTTCTCCATTTCCTGGGTAGTCCTGGGATAGTTTCTCTACTTCCTCCCTCCACCGTTGCCCTTATTAGGCTCATAGCTGCTTGTGCTAACAGCAGAAAGGAATGAATGATTCAGGGAGTACCCACCCATTCTTTTCTTCTACTGAATGTGTGCCCTTAAAGAGTTTTTACTGAACATGAGCTAGCTTCATTGCAACTGACCTGACATTTTTTCTGCATTCTCTTTAACTTTATTGATGTCATTTTGTAAGGAGATAATGAGTTTAGCATGTTTTTCACTCCCTACATTCTTGTATTCTTCCCAATATTCCTTCTCACTGAGCTTCTCAAGAAATAGCTTCTCAGCGTCATTTATTTGCAATCGCATATCTGTTGGAAGAAAATAAAAAACACCATGTCATTTCTATTGTCCTTGCAGCCATTATATGATGCAATCTGATTTTATGAAGTTACAGTCTGATATTAAAATGCTGTTATCTCATAAATCCAACTTTATATCCACAATTTAAGGAAATCTAAACTATTTGAACAATTGTTCAACTATTCCTCATGATTCAAAATCTAAGTAAAATTAAACTTAGAATTCTAAAGTAGATATGTGGTTTGGGGCTGTGATTGAGAACTATAATAGACAATTAAGCTGTATGCCTAGGAACTCACAAGTTTAAATTATTCCTGGGATAGCTTGATAAGGGTCCTGTCTTGTACAATATATTACATCACATAGACTTTTTATTAGTAAATTGTCATTTTTTTTTTTGCCATTATGTCTCTGGGCAAAGTGATTTCACCTTATATTGTTCCGTGGCCCTTGGCAGCCATTTTTGTAAGTCAGTTGTTTGGTTCTGTCATCTAAAGTTCATTTGCGTGAATTGATAGCATATGATAGTCATAGCAATACGTCTTCTCCCACCCCCACTTATAAGACTCCAGAGTGAAATATAAGTTCCCCAGTTAAATATATACAAATATTAGTCTCTCTCAACTATATAAACTTTCAATTTGCCCTGGAACCCTTCCTAAACATGATATTCTACTTAATCTTAAGGCTAAGTATCTTGCTATTGAATATTTTGGAAAAGGAAGCCTTACAAAGAGCCAGGTACAATGACCTGAACAGCTCTTTGACTCGCTACCACACGCCATCTTATTTGAGAGCTTGCTGATGGCAGTGCCACATTTATCCATCTCTGTAAATCCGATACTGAGCACAGAGCCTGGCAATGAGTTGGTGCTCAATAAATGTTCATGGGATATCTGAAGCATTTCAATCAGGCCAGAGGGATGCTCTTCAGTCCAGAGGTCCAGAAAGTTTCCAGACATGTCTTTTTCCAAAGATTTAAATAAGATTATATATTTTTAAATCCCTTAATCAATGGCACTTGTTATTATCATTAAACAGTTAATACTCCTGTAACCCAGATGGTCAGCCATCCTCTTATTTGAGCAGACTGCTGCTGTTCAGCCCTGTGCCACACTCAGCTTTTGAGGCGAGTGTTGATTGACATCACTAAAGATTTTGGAAGAGGTGGCTGTGTTGTAGTGACTGTTGTTCTACTTTTCCAGAACCTCTCTTCCCTTTCCCCCTAGTAACACACTTCTCCTGCCCGTTGTCAAGTAAGTAGCCCAATTACAGTGGCCCCTTCTCTTGACCATAGGGATTGGTCCAGGGGTGAGCATGTGCCCTTCCGTAAAAATATTTTCACTGAAACTGGTGGGAAGCATGTCTCTGTTGTCTCCTTTTTGAGGTTACGAGGATGTAAGATCAGAGGTATCTGTGGTTAAAGTTCCAGCCTCATGGGAACAACAGCCTCAGCAAAAAGGAGCCCACTTTCAGGGTGAAGACAGAGAGAAGAGAAGAGGGTAAGGGAGGTGGAGAAGATGGGGGGGGGGAGAGGGGAGAAGAGGTAAGGAGAGGTAAAGAGAAGGAGGGGAGATTATAAAAAAAGCTGAGATCTGACAGCATGTGAGGCTGTGTCCAGGTCAGGAGCACCCTGCCTTTTGTGCTTGATGTATGAAAAGATGAACATTCTCTTTATGCTTAGGCTAATTTGGGTTGGGTTTTTATCCTTGCAACTGAGAGTTACAAAAGTTGCAAGAAAGGGGTTACATCAGCACTTCTCAAATCCCACTGTGCATAGGAATCCGCTAGGATCTTGTCGTGATGCAGCTTCTGATTCAGTAGGTGTCCATGGGCCTGAGACTCTGCCCCCAAACCAGCTGCCACGTGAAGGTGCAGTTGCTGCTTCACAAACCAAACTGAGTCACCAGCAATTTCCTGGCATGTAACATAACCTCTTCAGATGCGTCTGTGGTCTCCCTGTCCCTCTCTTCCTTGGCATCTGTGGGCTTCTTTCTTCCCTGGACCACACACATACCCAATCCTCCTCCGTTGTGCTCAGTCATCCTGCTGGGCCCCAGGCTTGTATGACACACACACTTGGCACTCAGCCCAAACCATAGCCAGGCACACCTCAACTAACTGAACTCATTCCTCTTCAAAGGCAGTTTAGTGAGCACATCTGAGTATCTGTTTTGGTCCCATTCCCATCTCAAGGGACATGTGAAAATATCCCTTCCAAACTCAAGCAAAACTCCCCTGGAGTGGAGCCCTGCAAAATACAGTGTCTCCTACCTCATGACATCACCGTTGCCCATAAAGAGACTTGGGTAGGAGGAGGTTTATGGGAACGGTTTAGAGATTCTGAAAAGAGAAGTTTGCTGATTCATGTTTGGTTTTGGTAACTATTTCATTCAAAACAACAAACATCTATGAATGGAATGCCTGCTCTGTGCAAAGTGCTTCGGGAAGAAGGCTCTCTGAAATACTTGGAGAAATTCAGGAAAATCTAGTCCCTTGCTTTGCCTCCCAGCTTTTAGTACTGCTTCCTGATAGCATTCAAATTTCTCCCATGTTTTCCAGCTTCCTAGAAGAGATGGCATGTATGGAAATTCTGGCAAAAATCATTTTAGAAATCTTAGCAACAAGTTTGGGATGAGGGAATAGGCATTACAAAGAAAAATACAGGTGTCAAACCTGAGTGTGACTTACCCCCAGGACCATGGTATTTCTAAGCCCATGGGCAAGGTACGTCCTGGGTTTTTCATCTTCTGCATCTACCATCGTTTCTATCCACATCCTCCAAACTTCCCCTTTTCCAACTCGAATCCCTCTTTCCCCATCTAAATGGGAGGTCCAGCTCCCTTAGAGATGTGGAGTGGGGTAGAGCTTCAGCATTATAGTTATTTTAGTATCCCCAAATCTAAAGTGAGGCTGAAGCCACAAAAACAAGAGAATTTCCCAAAAGAAAGAATGACCCCTCACCGTGAGGAGTTCTGAGTGGTATCTATCAGGGCATTGTCATGTCTGAGTTCACCTGTCTTTGTTTTGTTTTAGCTGAGCCATCCTGCCACCTGTTGGCAGCTCAACTCGGTCTGGGACTCTAACCACTGTTGCTCAGAGCTCGCACTCTTGAGAGAAGCTCTTAACCAACTGAGCCACTCAGTCAGTCCCATCTGTCTTTTTTTTTTTTTTTAATTGGGGAATTGGGAGATGGGAACAGCGCTGGGGAATTGGGGGAAGGGGAACAGACAAGTTGCTGTCCTTTTGTTCTTCAGTCTAGTTGTGGAGGACATTGCTTCACTGGCCCAAGTTGGCACCATCATTGTGCTCTTCCCGGGCGAGGCAGATCAGTCGCTCGCTTCTGGAAGGCCGCTCACTACGGCTGCTGGCCGCTCACGCTGGCTGCTGGCTACACACGGTAGCCCATAGCAACCCACCTGCCAGTGCCTCATGGCAGCCCAGCTCCAGGTTGAGCTGTTGTTCAGCATCTTAGCTGTGGAGGGCAGTGTCACTGGCCCTCATATGTGGGATCCGAACCGGGGCCCTCTGGCGTCACAAGCCAGCTCTTAACCAATGTGCCAGTGGGCCGGCCCTATCTGTCTTTGTTTTGATCACTGCCCTCACTCTGCCTTCTCACTTGGTTTCAGTATCTCCGCTCACTTTGTTACTCCCCTCTCCTGCCCACTTACCTACGTGTGTTTGTGGTTGTGGTGATAAAGATGTCATCTGAAATATGTTCCCAGCATTTTGAACATATTAGGAAACAGACGCATTAATACCATCAAGAAATAGCTTGATGCAGCTTTATGATAATTTCCCTAGTCCCTAAGTCACCTTTCAAGTTTTGTTCCTGGTCTCTTTCAAACTTCCACTTTTCCTTCATTGCTGTTTCAACATCCTTTCTTGTTACAACCGTTTCTCCTTTTAACTTGTCTTCCTCACTCAATTCCTTCAGTAGGTCCCGTATGTGCCAAATCTGTTCATCCTTTAAACGTCTATTCTGTTGTGAAAATCAACAGTAGTTAGCTACATCTGCTAAAGTATTTACATTGATTTTGCTCAAAATAGAGTCACACATGGAGGCTTGCAAAGTGAGAATGAAATATTTAATGAAATAAGTAATACAATAATATCTCTAACAGTTTGTGGAATGTGGAAGACTTAAAATTAAACCTATCAACATGGTAACATTGGATAGAAAGTTACATTTAAAAAATTGTGTTATTAATCTACCAGGCTATCACCCTATCATAGGATCAATGAACATTAAAATTAGACCTTGGATGTTAATTTCTTTAATTCTTCCACTAACACTGTTCTCTAGCAATCATCATTTATTTAATCAATATTTATGGAGCATGGAGCATGTAATGTTCTATAAACTAGGAATATATCAGTGAAGAAAATAGACAAAAAGTACTGCTCTTGTGGAATTTACATTATTCTTTGCTTTTTTCACAAATGACGCTAATTCTCTTCTTTTAGGGTGATGGTTACCATTCTAATACTTCACACTTGAAATATGGGCTGGGTTCCTCTGTGGATATCCCATTTATGTTTCTAAGCTTCTTATTTAATCAACTCAGAGTTTACTCACGCCCTTGCTATCTTATTATGTATCTACAGAGATATTTTAGTGTTTGTGAACTCAATATTTTCCTTGTAATTGTCTTTTTTTAATTAAACTTTTTTTTCAATTACAGTTGACATATAATATACATATAATATTCTGGTTCAGGCATACACCATAGTGATTATACATTTACATAACTTATGAAGGATTACCCTGATAAATCTAGTACCCATCTGACACCATACATAGCTATTACAATACTATTGATTATATTCCCCATGCCATACTTTACACCCCTGTGACGGATTTTTAGCTGGCAATTTGTACACTTTATTATTTTTTTTATTTTTATTTTTTTGGTTGAGTCATCCTGCCGCCTATTGGCAGCTCAGCTCCAGCCGGGCATTGAACTGCTGTTGCTCAGAGCTCACACTCTTGATTTTAACCAAATGAGCCACTCGGCCAGCCCTTGGCAATTTGTACATCTTAATCACTTCTCCTTTCCTTGTCAACTTCTTAGGCTCCCTTTAGGTTCTAATACTCATTTCCCTGGCATCTCTCCTTCAATTTTTAAACCTGATAAAACATATATACTTAAAATATTTTAATAAGTCTTTTAAAAATTACTTATTTTTCCTATAATTCAAAATGCTCTTTACTATAACTTTTTCATTATTATAGTTTATTTTATTGTTTTTTATTTCTGATAGCCATGTCTTGTATTCTCTTAACTTACTTGGATACTTTAAAGAGTATTTTCTTTCCCAGAATTGATTCTGTAGGCCAGTGCATCTCAAGCTTTAATGTGTATGCCAAGCACTTGGGGATCTTGTTAAAATGCAGATTATGATTCAGTAAAGTTGGCATGAAGCCTGTGATTCTGCATTTCTGACGAGCCCCATGTGATGCCAAGCCTGCTGGCCCATAAGCAACACTTGGAATAGCAAAGGTCTTTCAGATAATTTAAATACTTATGATTTACTGATAATGCTAGAGCCTACTAAACCTCTGTTCTTTATGACTTCATCCAACAAACTTTTAATTTGAGAACTGAAAAACTTGATTTCTTAACACTTTTTAGCAAAATTAGCACTAGTTTAATAAACTCCTCAGATAGGATTTAATGTGACTTTAATGCTCTTTAAGTTATTCCATAGGCTGTATGATGGGATTGTTATTTCAGTGCCTTAAAATTTTAACTTAAAACTTTGATAAGTTGAACAAAAGCAATAGGCAATTAACTTTATGATGCTTAGTATTAATAAATACACTCAAATAAAAAAGGACTGGGACTGGATAGGCTTTGAATGTTTTAAAAAAATGGAAACAAAGATTAAAAATATATGATAGTCAATTTTATTTTATTTTATTTATTTTTTATCTTTATTTTTATTATTATTAGTTTCAGGTGTACAAAAGAATGCAATAGTTATCCTTTTCACCCCTCACAAAGTGACAACCCCCCTCCCCCCACTCACTGTCCCCCTACCCCGATATCATACATATCTATTACAATTCCATTGACTCCATTCCCACACTATACTCCACATTCTGTGACTATATGTATATAAAATTATAGTTGACATACAAT